CAGGAATTTATTTGTATTGTTCTTCATCATCACTAGTGGCAATGGCTGCAATAGCTTCCATGTGTTTGCCTTCCATATGAGTCATATATTAAAATGCTGAAGTGTTGCGACATCATTAAAGAGGAAATCTCAACAACAACAGTACGTTAGGTGGATTAATTTTGTTTAATTTAAAATCTACAATTAAATATTTAAATATAATTTTTTTCCTTTGAATCCCTTTATACCCAGTGGAAAGAAACACACAGCCTCAGAGGGCCATTCATGTGCCTTTTGTTAGATAGGTATCTTAGAATTAGTTGAATCACCCTCCCAAGTTGCCTAATTATTTCCATTGACTAGAAAGGAAGCTGAAGGTGACTGACTGGCAGTTAACTTCAAATGCTGAAACAGGGCAGATGAATTCCATCCTTACAGACAGAGATAAGTATCTTTAAAAAACTAAACATAGATTATACTGAGAGAGAATAAATCCTTTCTGACAATATTAGAGGGTAAAACAAGTATGCATTAGATAACACAACAGTGACTCTAATTTGATAATATCATAAGAGACTGGACTTCAAAAATAGTTACGGAGGGGAAAAAAGCAAATGTAACAGTCTCCTCTACTCTTCTAGTTTCTGAAAGTTGTCTTTGAATATCTGTTGGTGTTGGGGATCAAGATGAGAGAGATAGCATTGGAAACTTACCTGGCCATACAAGGTAAGTGTCTGCCAGATCCTAAAACCAAGGGAAAGGAGGTAAAAACTAATGTTGGGGGCAGGTGCTCTCTTAATTTATTTTGAGGTCATATAATAGCTATAAAACTGTAATACGCATAGTTAGGACTGGGACACAGGAAAGCAGAAGCATGTGGGCTTGGTTTATTGGCAGGTTGCAGACACCATGTGTTTACTGTAGGTCGGTATCATCTTGCATGTTCTTGAACGGACTGGAGTCCTTGGCCTGTCCTATCTCCAGAGAGGGCTAGTTAAGAAGCAGGAGGAGCTTATGAGCATGGATGATTGCTGGATCCTGCCAGATGTGCTGGCCTGGTTTTGAGGGCTGATTTTCTAAGAGCTGCAACTCTAAGAGCTCTAAGGGTTGTAGACGGTAAATGATCAAGGGGAAAGATTAGAGGTGGGGAATGCGTTGACTATTTGGGTTCAGAAAGCAGGTGATTTAGACTTCAGTTGGTTTCCAGATCCGGTAAAGCTGGAAGGCCTAGAAGAAGTCTAGGAGTGGAAAGGTCTGGTGGTATTTAGTAGCTTTAATAGTAAATCTGCCTTAAGTAGAACAGACTTGCAGTTGTGTCTAGGAGCAGAACTAAAAACTTTGTAGAAGGCTTCTTGGTTAGGACGGTGACCGGTGCCATTTGAAGGTAGTGGATTACATTGATTTTGTTAGTGCTTTGGCATTGCACCTATAGCACCAATTTGGGTTAGGCAGCACAAGTCTTGCAGACAGAAGAGATGTATAAGCTTGATTTAAAACACGATCCTACAGCCCACCCTTAATAGTCCAAGCGCTCTGTCAGTATATCCTACACCCTAAACCTGGGCCCAACCATAAGGCTAACTTATATTGTTGACCAGAGATTCAAATTAATCTACAAATTTTCATAGAAACCACTGTCTCCTCCAGATACTGGTTGTCATCCTGCCTGTGGTGGGTAGATTCTCTAAGCCATGCCACATGACAGGGGCTTGAAATGAATTAGGGCTGGGTTTTGGGGCATGGTAATGGGGTGGGAGGTCTGCCTCTGAATGGAAGGAGTTCTGGGAAGCGGTGGTCTGGGACGTGTGGGCAGGACAGACTGCTGGAAGTGAGGGAACAGGACTGCCAGTCACAGGACTAGCAGGATCGATTCAGGGAGATACAATTTTGGTATGATGAATTTTTGAATGCCAAATCAGTGCATTTTCAGTGAACACTGAGGGCTGGGGAAGGTGGATACAGATGTGAAGACAGGCTGTTTCGAGGGTATATGGATCTCTCAGGGCCGGGAGTGGAAGGGAGCTATTACGTGTGAGAAGGCAAGACCTTTTGAACATATGGCAATTACTCATAATACCTAGCAGGAAAATAACCTTTTAACTTCCACGTGGCAGACTAATCTCTACAAACTTGTAGCTTTATTTTATGAGACTTGTTATGCTCAGGGAGGCTGAGGAAGATAATTCAGTAATGTGTTTGTAGTCAGCATGGAGGAGGGTGCCAAAGCTGAGCAGGGCTGTCAGGCAGGTGAGGGAGACTTAATAGTGTGTCACCCTAAACAAAGGCACACTTGCCCAGTCCTTTTACTCAGGCTACTTCTGAACGCCCATCTGTGTTTGCAGCTAGGCAGTAGAGGTGCTCCCATTTTGTCTTCATGTACTGCCATTGAGTTGTGGCAGGCAATTCCAGTATTGCTCAGGAGACTTTGTGGGCTGGTTGGGAATCCTTAAGTTCATTACTGAGAGTTGATGACGATGTGTGCTGTGAGTCCACTACTGACACACCAGCATTGTTGTGGCAGGAGGAACACCTCAGGTTTATTCTAAGTGTTTGCTAAAGGAAGCTAGAAGGTCAGCCACTTAAGATGGTCTGTTCTTGCTTAAAGCTCTTCCAGACCACATGTACTTCTCATCAGTAATAATGAGAAATAATAATAAAACAATAAAAAACAATTAAAAATAATAAGCCCTTGCTTATTTAAATACTTATTATACTCTGTGGATATTTACTTCTGTCATTGCATACAGTACCAGTAACACTGGTGTGCTGCTTCAGGCCAGCTGCAAAGGTGTGGCCCGGTATTGGTATAGGTGGTGTATCTGCAGGTGGCAGTCCCACCTTCCCGCTCTGCCAGGTACTATTTCCTGTCTTGGGAAGTACGATGAGTGTATTCTATTTGTTGGTCACTAGTAAGCAACAGACCATAGTTAAGTGGTTTAACTGCAAAGAATTCAGGCAGATCTTTATCTGTAGCTGCAGCAGGAACTTGAGTAATACTGCTCTCCAGCTAAACTGGTGGAAAAGTGGCTACTGCTGCAAATACTTGTGTAGAGATTTAACTTCACTTTCTACATGTATCAAGGCAAATATGCTCCACTGCTGCCCTGCTAAAGGAAGTTAATGGAGCAGGCCTGAGGTTTAATTGAGTGTAGTTTTTTATTTTTGTTTGTTAGCATGAAGAATTTTCATGGCTGTGTATCGGTGCTCTTGGGGACATTTTTGATGATGGCTGCCTCTTGCTGATGGCGATCATTCTGTGATGTTTTGGAAACTTACAGAACAAAGTCTGTTTTGACAGCAGCTGAGCGCAAAGCATTCCAAGATGGGAGGCTTGTTAAGGTGAGGAGTTGGCACTGAATGGCAGACTCATATAAACTTCTGAAATCAAGCAGAACATTTCCATTTAATTGTAATCTCCAAAATTACTTTGGTCAGTACAACTGCTTAAACATATCAACATAAGGCTCAAGATTACAATAAAGCATTTCACATGAAAACACTTCAAGCAGCATAACATGCTTAGTATTTAACAAAAGATCCTCCAAATATCTGTACAGAATTATTGTGATAAACAGTGTTTCTGGAACAAGATCTAACCCTTACAACATAAAACACAAAACTCCTTTTTGTCAGTGGTTAACAGCTGGTTTTGGTGGTGTGTTTGCCATTAAAACTCTAGGAACAAATTATTTTCAAGGGCTGCAAGACCAGGATATGTTTCTATATAACCTATACTTTTAAATGAAGATTCTGCTTCCACGGTTTTGTACATTTATTTGATGGAGTATCAGATTACACAGTCATAAAATTCTATTTACTATTTAAAGTAAAATGATAAATGTTACGAAAAAATACCTTATTACATCAGTGATGCTTTAACTAAAGTGAATATTAAGACTATTAACCAGGGGTTGAAAGTTTTAGGCCCTGATATTGAAAGTACTTCTATATGCCCTTAACTTTACATGTAAGGAGTCTCCCTGGCAGCAGAGGGTCTGCTCTGATGGGCGATGTTAAGTTTGTGCCTAAGTGTGTGCAGAATGTGGGCCGAAGTACTTGGAGAGGCGCGGATGTGTTATACAGAGAAACGTTCTCAGCACATAAATAAAGTCTGGCTTCTTAGTATGTACATATACTGAAAAGAAATATTCTTAACTGAAAGGATGTGTTTTCTTTTTCTCTCTTAATAGCGCATATATTCCCATTTCACTCAGAAAGTGCTTATGTATTCTCAGCTAGAGATTTACCTCATCAGCTGTGAATCTAGCATGGACAACAAATCTAACCCAAGAATGTCTTATCAGCAGGAGATACTGGGGGAAGAGAAGGCTGGCAATCGTTTGTATATACCTTGTATTAATAAAAAAACTTCTCATAGAGAAGAATAGACTTTTAAATATTTTCAATCCTGATATATATACAACAGTAAAAATTCACATTTTCATGCTTTAGTGAGACATTTTAAAATCCTGCCCCAGGCAGCTCTCAGAGTAGTTGTGCCCAGTTCCTAGCAGCTGCCTCACATTCAGCTCTAGTACCAGAAGCTTAAACTCTTGATAGCTGAGCAACCATGGGGAGAGAAAACACAGTTCTACCAGATTTGGAAAGGGAAAGAAACAAAAAAGAACATGATGGGTCTTTCTATTTTCAGAGGCCCCGTAGCTCTCCTGTGTCCCAGAACAAGACAAAGCAGTTCATGTTTCCAGTCCCATTAGACCTGCCTTGTACCATTTCTGATAGCAGGGCCCAAGTGC